ATATAGATATAGATATATATAGATAGATTATCTATATCTCTATATCTATGAGATATATATAGAGATAGATATAGATATATAATTAACTATACAGATGTTTGTTAACAGATAACATCTTTATTACACAACATGAGAAATAGCCTACAATCTATTATTGAACGTTACAAATACACAGAAAATAGATTTTTTCCCTACAGAACAGTGTTTGTTGTCAAAACTAAGAGCCAATCAGCTCTTTGATACGGCCACAGCCAGGCGTTTCCCATCATGCCCTGCGTCTTACAGTCGGAGAGCAAATGCGCCCGCCTCGACCTCGTGAGGTTATCGTTGACATGACATCAGAGCAGGTCAGGATCAAGTCACACAAATCTAACCGCCGTGCATTGTGTGGCGATCGACCTTGATTGGTTTTATCTAAAGTGTATGGATTTAATAGACAAATGTAAAATGAACAAATAACACAAACACAACTTTTGTTTAAAGAACAACTTTCATACAGAATAAAAAAGAGAAAGACAAATAGACAGGAATTAGGACCAGCGTGTCTGCTCTTTATTTGCAAATAAGTAAACCCGTGTACAGAGAATCATCACACTGGTTCTTCAAAGCATTTTAAAACATTCAAAAGAGTTGTAAAATTCAAGTTTTGGGTTTTAGCCTTGAAACACCACGCCATAACTTTTTACATCAGCCTTAAAAACTCTTTGGACAAAACTTCATGTCTAGGCTCAACATTCAAAAAATACTTTCAGAGCGTCTAGTTGAACACCAACAGGAGCTATGAAAGACCCTTTTTACAAGTCTGTGTCAACCATTGATACGTACTGGATATGCAGACTATTAAACAGCACGACTTGACAAAAATATCTTTCAAAGTACATACCTCAAAATACAGATCATCTTCAATGGCTATACTGTAAAGAACACAAGTGAGCAAACATTGTACAACTTTTAAATTCATGGCAACTATCTCTCCTCATAGCCCTGCAAATTCTGAATGTGGTCGATCTGCTTGAACTCAGTAAATGTGTCGTATCCTCACAAGTTGCGGACATTCAACGCATGCAAAGCAGCAAGTTCAGACTGTTAAGTGTACACACCTCTGTATGACTACACGTGGAACAGATACAGACAGTACATTCCTTTTTGATAAACAGAACTCGATAGGGATGCACACAAAAAGCACTGCAAGGTCATCATATCTAAAGAAGGAAAAGCAGAAAGCTACAGCACAGCACGAGTTGCCTGCTGCGTAGTTAAAAGCTTCTATCAACACTCTCAGGATGGTCAAGTGCTCGCACAATGTCAAAATAAAGGCCACAGCAGAACTAAACATGTTCTAAGTACTCCATCTACAGTGACCAATGATGGTAGTTTAGTTATAGATTCCACTGCATGATAGCTGAACTGTGAGAAATTCAATAATATCTGCAATACGTACTGACAAATAAGATGTCGTTCGCTGCTGCCCCCTTCTCCTGTTCTTGTTTGTGAGTCTACGTTGAGTTAAGTTCTCTTTACAGCACGTTATTGCACTTCATGTTCAACCAATGCCAAGTCTGCTGCTCTCTTCAAGCATCTCTAGACCATTCTGTTATTCTACATGCACTGGCCATAAATACCGTCAGGTCAATTATTTCAAAACGTAATTCAAACCAGTTCAACGAGAATATGACGACACAACACTTTAAAATCAAACTGTCGATCCACACCAAGAACACTCAAAACCCCGCAGGTTAGGAGAGCATCCTTAAAAATCACCTTTACAGAAACGGGTCCTTCACAGATCAGCGATTCCTCGTTTCACACACGGACATGCATATATTCACAAGGTGCAGTAAACACTCCAATACACACAGTGATTGAATCAGTCTCATCTGTCAGTAGATGTTACAGGCAAAAGCCACAGTACGGTTTTCCTCTCTTCAACACCCGACACACACTTTGCTACTTTTGTTCAGAGCCCTATGTAGACAGAAGTGCAGCCTTTAAAAAACCCAAGCCGAAGTCACAGCTACTGGCCTTTGTCTTGCCTGTAAACTGGTTCCAGTGCAAGATTTGGCTAAATGTGATGATACCAACAAAAAAGAAAACCAGCATGCTGCTCTCTAAAAGCACCGTGGAGCTCCCAAGTTGTGGTTCAGATAGGCTTATAAAGCAGGGAGGTGACGTACTTCTTCTTGTATCTGTGAGTCGCACTCAGCACCATTACTCCATCCTGCACAACACAACACACAGGCAATCTGCCATTAGAGAGACCCAAACCCACGGAGCAGATAAACATGAGATGCTCGTATTTGTGAAACTGCCAAACGGTCCACACAGAGAATAATGTAAATATCTGATTTTTAATAATCATGAAAACCTTCATGTATTTAGCACTAAAAGGTGTCTACTAGCATATTTAGTATAACTATTCTGACCACACATTTGGTTGCTTTAAATGTTCTCTATAGGATATTCAGAGCATTAATATAGGAAGCAGCAAACAACTATTAGCTTTGTAAAGATATAGTGAGGTAGTGTCTATTTTTAAAAGAGAATGAAGTCGCTCTCCCTCTGTATGTGTTGTAATCCGAGCTTCTCCCTGCTTTGTTGACATAGCAGGGTCGGCCCCAAGTGGCTTTTAGTGCACATTAGTGCATGTAAACGCGCCCCACTAGTTAGCTGGCGACCGCCGCTCAGCACTGTGCTCATGAAGCAGTTACAGCTGATAAAACCCAAACTCTAGTCGCCCCTCAGATTAACACTGAACGCTCAGCACTGTTGCCGTTGTTTGCACTGTTAGCACTCTTAGCTACGTGCCGCAGGCTCAGCCCTCACCATGTTGAGAGGCATGTGGAGGAAATAGATATGCTCTGAAGTTCTTAAGTGAGCACCTTCAGTAAACATGAGAAGTTATGCAGGGTTATGTCCTTTTGAATGTTTGTCATAGCAACAGACTTTGACATTTAACAATTGGTTGTACAATTTTGCTGTGTGAATGTTTTCAGAGGCACTTGACTTCAGAGGTAATTGATTAATGTAGAGTAAGTAAAACGTATATAAAATGAGTCTAGATTTCAGAGTTTGGGAGTTAAAGACTATTATATTAAGTTAGTTTTTGCACGACCGTCTGATTCACTGGCTGAAAGGTGAGGGAGATTCAACCCCCTCCACAGAATTGGGTTGCTCGGGGATGTATAGTTAATAGAGCTGGGGGGAAAGCGTGCGTATTTCATGGGGTGCCAGTAACATCTGGAAACGTGTGAGAACCTACCTTAATTGAGAGGGCATAAAGGTGGTTTAGCATTACATGGTTGGGCTCAGGCAACAGGGCAGGGTCACACTGTCGAGAAAAAGTACGAGGAAAAATTACAAACCACAAAGAAAATGGTAAACAACAACAAAGCGTTAAATCTGAATGGCAGATAGATGGAGGCACTGACAGATATATTGGTGTCCTTGTTGAGTATGACTTGGAGGAGGTGAGGAGGGAGTATAGGTGGGGCTTTGAAATGCTCCTCAGGCCTGAAGCTGTACTGCTCCTGTCCATAAGGACCTGGAGGGGAGCTGGACAGATCTGCAACCGTAAAAAGGCACATTAACACCGCTGACAGGGTTTCAAGGCTTGACTGAACTTTCATCAGTGTTTACTGTAACTGACCTGATGTGTCTGAGCACTCCAGAGAGTCAACATGCAGGGCGTCAAACACCTCAAAGTCTGACTTCTTCACCTGGATCAGGTTGTTGATGGTGCCGAGTTGACTGGTTACAACTGTCTGCAAAAGAGAAAAGTATATAAATATTATATACAACACTGCACACATTTCCCTAGAATTTAAAAAGGCTTTGACAGCGATAACAGTAATGGACGTATAGTTCTTCTGTGGTTTCCTGACCAAATTCCACGACAATGATGTCTTTGCATAGGAGGTCCTTATCCTCTCATGTATATAACGTCATAGGTCTTTGTAACATGGCAAAAAGCGGAACTGAACTATTTGGTATTAAGGAAAAACTTTCAATAACACAATAATAAAATAAAAATGACAGTGATGTACCTCTGAGGAATCATGGACCCACTGTCCATCTACAAAAAACTTGTACTGGTGCTCTCCTTCTGGCAGGTCCAGGATCGCTACAAAGTCATTATGGCTTTGGAGAAAAGAAAAGAGAGTATTAGTGCAATACCGGTCATTCGATGATTTCAATTGGATCCCTAAAAGACCATAGGAGATGATATTTACATGTTTACCTCTTATTTAGTGGTATCTTTGTGCTCCAGTTATTAAAGGAACCAGCTATGAAGACCTCCTTCCCCCCTCCGGCCCAGCGGATGACTGTGGGTCGAGCCTGACGACCAGTTTTCACCTGGTCAGCCAGATCTGATTCTTTCTCTCCTAACGCCTAAAAGCAATTCATTGATATCTCAAATAAAATCATATCTAACAAATGGCATACAAATCTGAAAGGTATTCCTGCGCAACAAACAAGATACAGTACAACAATCTATATTTCTGGTTCTGCGTTTTCCAGCGGTACCTTCGACTCCGGCCCGTGGGTGTTGAAGATGTTGGGGTCGTCTGTGCTGTCCACCATCTTGCTGCTGGGTTCCTGGTCTTTGTGGCTGCCGCTGCTGTCTGAGCGGTGGGCCTTGGCTCCATGCCGATCTCCAGACACTCTGTCACTTGTGTTGCCCATGATGCCCGTCTGTTTATGGTGCTACTGGAAAGAAAAGACAACTTCTTCCATGTTTGGGAACAAACCATAGACTAAATGACTTCATTGCAACCCAGCCATTCAGAAAATAAATGAATCAGTTGCATCCTTTTATCCCAGATTTCAGAGACCTTATTGGACCGTGCACAGATTCCTCCAGCCTGGAATCACTTGAAGACAGATTTGCAGCTAGATAGGCTGATCCTAGTAAAGGGTTTGGAGGCTAATTCATTTGGAGTTTGTAATTGCTTCTTTAGCTAGATCAGTTTCCTTCTGTCTGTCTTCCTAGCATATTAATCTGCCTTTTATGAGTTTGTTTCATGTATTTTAAATGATTGAGTGTATAAAAAAAAAAGTTAAAAGGTATAATATTAATACATTATGACAATGTAATGGTAAAAAAGTCCCTAGTTATATATTAGTTATAGCAGAAACTACAAAAGGTAAGTGCGATATGTGGCTGATTTAAAATGGTAAACACCTTCTTAAGACATACACTGAATGCACACGAGCCGTGCACACATGATGCTAAACGGCTTACTAGAGAGGCTTATCGGGAGGCTAGACAGTTTAAGATACGACCAAGTAACGTTAACTGTGGCAGTAACTGTAAACCTGGACCTGCCACCGCTTAACGGTAATAACGTCTCCACACAGCTTCGTCCCGTTAACGCCCACTAGCTACTTAAGTAGCAACAAGTTCCCAAATTAAACTTTAACGTTAAAGACAATGTTGCCATTAATCGAGAGATGTAACGTTAAGCACACGTAGCTTGCTGGTTGAAGCCTACCAAAGTGTCCCCTCTGTTCAGCTGTGTCGACAAATCACTAAAACAGGAGAATATTTTTAGCTTACAGTCGGCTAGCTGCTAGCTGTCACTTTCTAACAACTAGCTTAGCACGCGGTTTGTCTTATTTACCACGTCAGTGTCGATTATTACAACGTGACGCAAACTTCACCATGTACCGTTAGTGACGACAAAACAAATACACTCACCGAAACCAGCTGAAGTTTCTGTATTTTTGTTTTTTTCCAGCGGAGGGCTAACCTCCTTCAACAATAGTGGTGCCCCAACTACGGTGTGCGACTAGGACAAACTTAGTGGGACCATGTATTTCATCACATGGGCAGAAATGGGCTTCCACAACTACCAGATTGCCTGAGAGGGAACTATGAAATTGTTTATCGATGCAACAGAGATACAGCAACTTCATATTATGTAGTTTACTCTGCAGAATCATAATCGGACAAGTTATTGTTTCAATTACCTGCATTCAAGCAGCAGAACACTTTGGGGACCTCATGTGGTGTCCCGGTGGAGTGATATGTTCATGGTCTCTTGTTCTGTCTGATATATTTTATATGAATAATAATTAATAACAAAAGTAATACACTGTACACAATATAAAATAATTACAGTTAGCACAGGTAGCTTCCTTTGCTACAGGAAAGGCTCTAAAATAAACCTATATTATTGTAACCTGCACACTGCGAGAAAGTCATTTTCAGAAATTCTTTGACCAACTACATTCATTCATTTATTTTATTAAGAAAAACATTTTTGGGGGGTTATTTTATATAAAGCTACTGCATCTTAAATAATTCTCCAGATCCCTTTTGTGTAACGAATGAAAGCAAATTCTAACAATTGTTCGAACTTGAGATTGACAAGATGACAAAATGCTCTATACAAAAACCAGAGCCCAAATCACAGACAAAGATGATGCAATCATTTTATTGTTCTTAGTTGTCCAATTTAGTCTGTATTTTGCCTGTTTTGTTCCACTAATATCTCTGACCTCTTCTGCTGCCCATTTAAATTCCATCTGGCTCTTTTTTATTAGGCCAGCTAGTATCCATTAGAAATATATATCCCTGGGATGATTAAAGATAAAATACTAAAGTCTAAAATACTATTATGGTCTCGTTTACTTGTATTGTACTGGGCAAAATTTTCAGTTGAGCATGGAAGTGTGTCTAGGTGTTTTGTCTTCATTAGCCACTAGGTGGAGCTGTTAACACACCTCAGTGAGCCCCACCCCGAAGAGCTGAACTTTACACCACTCAGCCATTTGCTCGCAAGTAAGCCTTCCAGCAAAGACCATGGTAAAGTTTCCACATGTTCTGGCTAAAAAACTACTAAATCAAGACCAGTTTTCCTTTCTTAAAATCCACATTAAAGTAACATATAATAAAGACAATAGGCTGTATGGAAGAACAAGTCACACAATGTTAAAGGTAACAGTATCTGCTTGTGGGAGTGTTCAGTTGGTTGGTTTGCTGTGAAGAAATGAGAAGTGAAGCAAGAGAAAAAACATGCTCCCTGCAAGTCCAATGACCAGTTATTACTGTTAATATGTTACATAGTAGTAACCATCATCAAAACCCGTAAATAATCATAACTGAAATATATATATATATATATATATATATATATATATACACATACATATATATATATATATACACATACATATATATATATATATACACATACATATATATATATATATATATACATACATATATACATACATACATATACATACATACATATATACATACATATATATATATATATACAGTACATACATATGTAGTAAAAAACACATCTGTGATGTCAGACAGTTCACATTTAGTGGCTGTAAGGCACATTTATGATTATCAGATAACACACAATTTATGATTTTCACATTGCACAAGACACATTTGTCTTCATGCACACAGTACTCCAGTGTTAACAAGTTCTTGATTTTTCAGGGACAGTTCTTTTTGGTTGACAGCAGCTGACTGGAGCCGATGTCACTCTAGGTGTTTACAACTTAGGAAAGTGTTAAATTACCTCTAAAGGGCGTTGACTTCAGCATTTGAACTGGTGTAGTGTCATTTTACCTCAAAATAAGACCATTAACTCTGCTGTGTATCTCTATTGGAAAAGCTCCAGATTTCATAAAACAAAATATTTCTTTAGTAACCAAAAGAAACAAAAACAATATGATCCATTAAGCTACCACTTTGGTTGATCAGTTTTAACAGAATAAAAGTAGGATGAATTTCACAACCCATCATGTATTATGTTTGTATTTAGTGCAGTACTATCTTTATGTCAAATCTTGTTTTGGACAATGAATATATTTTGGGAGCGTGTTATGCGTAAAAATAGGATAGAAATTAAAGCATGCTCAGCAGGAACGATAAATGCTTTAGCTACTGACAGACAACCCTTAGTAGGACACATACAGTTTTCCATCCACTGAACTCCTTCGCCAGCTGGGGGGGAAGTCATGCTCTGTATGTTTGATGTCTGTCTGTTTTCTTGGGACTCATTTCAGGCATTTTCAAGTCTGACAAATAAATGTTCTTTTTCATTTGCTTGCAGCGTCATTTGGAAATTCCTAAGCCAGTCTTCATGTATTCGTAAACCACATAGCTAATGCTGACAGCAGGAATGACTTTCATGAAGTTTGGCAGGATGCCCCGGTAGAGTCCGAAAAAGCCATCTTTGGCTACTATCTTCTTCATCAGGCTGCTCATGGAGGGCTGGTCTGATGCATCCAGAGACGCTGGAGAGAAAAAGGAAGTTAGGGAGGCTGTTTTACATCTGAAAGCATGCTTTTTACTCTTGTACTGTATGTTAAAGGAAGCCCTTCTCCATTGCAGCCCACTTACTATATTATGTACAGAAAATAGTGGGTGCTATTACAGTTTTGTCACCACATAAACATCTTGCCGTGTATTATGCACTATGTAATTGCGTGCCATGTAAGTTTTGTCATCCTTGTTACCAAATGTCAAGACTGAGTTTACCTCGTGCCTGCATCCGTGTGCGCACAAGCGCGAGTGGATAGCTGGCCAGCTGGCCACAGGTACTAGAGATGGTCCCGCAGGCCACCAGCACCAGAACTCCAGGGTTGGCCGAGTCCTTGGCGTAGTGCGACAACCACGTGTTCTTCAGAGTCTGAGACACAGGAGAGACATGCATTATGCTAGTGAACATAAGCATAAAAGGAAAAAAATGGATTTCTCTGATTTAATGTAGCACTACAGTCCTAGGTTAACTGATTCGTCGTGCATACAAATGAGAAAATGTAACTAAGTGCGCTCTGTTGTGAAATATGAGGAAAGGAGCAGAATACATACCTCATAAACAGCGAGGTCTATCCCAGCATAGGGAATGATTCCCACTAAGTTTGGAATGTAGCCCTTGTAGAAAGCCTTGACACCTTCCTTTCTCAGAATCGTCTTGGCACAATCAAACATTCCTGCATACTGGCCGGTTTTCCTCAGGGTCAGCCTAGTTTTCAATACCTTAGAGGGAAAGTACAAAAGAAGAAAAACTGAGGAACAGAATATTTTGATTTGCGTGGTATTTTCTAGTTTGGGGGAAAAACATATTAAAAAAGCTGCTTTCATTTTATTTCGTTATATTGACCCACAACCCTCTGCACAGCGGAAGATACGTCACATTGCCTGAGCCGAAAGGGCACAGACAGACGACAGATCAAGTGGCCGAAGGCGCAATGACAGATGACAGCACATTTAAGAGGGTCAAAGTTCAGGGCGTAACGTAATGACGAAGTGGAATGTCTCAATTGCATGCGATAGTACATGCTTTGTAAGGGCAGCTGCAGTACGTACAAAAAACGTAAAAAAGCAATCAGTTGACGTACCTCCATTGGGTAGATGGCTGTCTGTGCTGTGGCCCCGGCCATAGAGCCAGCCATGAACCTCTTGTGTGTCTCAATCTTCTTGCCCTCTGAGGATAACAACTTCTTAAACTACAGAACACACACAAATGGAGCGAAAATAAATAATGCACTGATTCCAAATATTTGTAATGCTACAAAACGGTGATAAATACCATCACATGTATAAAATGTGCATTTAAGAGCTTACTTGTTCATATGCCATGAATTTGATTGCTGTCTCAGGTGCAATCTTCAAAACGTTGGTCCCATTTCCCCTCCACAGTGACGTTAGACCTCCCTCTTTGAGCATCCGCTTGAAGCCCCCTACCAGGCTAATCGGATTGGTCTTAGAAGAATGAACCTGCAGTACAAATACATAAAAGGTTTGCAGGTCAGTTTCACTCGTAGCACACGTAAGTTGCATAAGTTATCATCCTAAGGTAAGAATACAGTTGTCCATTTGTTTCTTTCACTTATTTCACCTGCATGAAGACTTTCATTCTGTCCAGAGGGGCAGTACCAGTGCGAGAGACGGCCCCGGCTACTGCACCTGCAGCAAGCTGCTTACACCAGACACCTGAGCTCTTCTCCTCCTCTGTGAATTCATCTGGGATGGCAAGACTGTCACCTATGTCCAGCACCTGGTGAAATATATATACATATATATTTTATTAAATCACATGCATTTATGGGCACTGGTCAAATCAAAGACATGTCCGTTTAGCATTACTGCTCCTGCTAGAGCTATAAACACATTCTCAGTGCTGTGTCAGTCTATGGCCATGATAATAATACAGCAGAATTATTTGTGGTTTTTGAGATTGTATCTCTCTCAGGAAGGCACATGTCACATAGAGACTGTTTGTGTGGCTGTGAATGTGACAAAGAAAAACACTTCACAAGCCGACAGGAACTTCTCATTTTGAGGTCTATTTTCACAGTGATGCAGCAACTGGTTTTTTTTTAAATCTGCCAAATTACCAGTTGTGCACTGAGAGAGAGCAGCCTTTACAAAACCTTGAACATAAGGGTGCAGCCAGGAAGTAAAAACATTAAAAGCACATGTTTCCTTGTCTTGTATAGTTCATACAACTTGTGCATAGAAAAAGGTCACACTGTTCGAGAAAGGCAAAGAAATCGTAGAATTGTAACTATTTTAACAACAAACAATGAATTGACCTGACCTCCTTATCCTTTAGCTAGAACTACCGATAAACAAATCCAATGTTTTTCCAAAAGCATAAATGTGCCTGTGACAAACATGGTGCAGTGGCAATGTAATGCAATTCTGCCTCGAACCACAGAGGCTTATGCTGCAAGTTATTTGTCCTGCAGCCACTCTTACGTCACATCTATGGCATGAGAATGCAGTTTTGCCTGGTTTTGGAGCAAATATCTTGACAATGACATCTTTATTTGCACCGAGACGTGGAGGAGCAGGCTGAAGGGGGGCCAAAGTGTACTGTTGTGACCTAATTATGTTGGACAGTTCAAAGCTGCTGGCAAAATGTGGAGTGCAGGGAAAATCCATACCATCTCTCACAAGAGGACTTGACGTCATGTGATTAATTCCACTGCAGTCGCCTGCCTCTGTATTTGAGTGTGTGTGTGTGTGTGTGTGTGTGTGTGTGTGTGTCCTTACCGAGGAGTGTTTCCAGTAGCGTATGATCTCTTCCAGGTTGTGAGCAGGGCAGAAAAGGAAGTGTTCTCTCCACTCATTCCAGTCCACCATCATGGTCCCATCAATGTCCATACTAAGGAAACACACAGACACCTGTTAACCCATGATCTATGGTTATAATAAGCACACCATGTAAGGCTTTCAGACTAACACTAACACTCTAAATAGAAACATTTAAGAAATGGAGGTCAAACCTCTGTAATATTTTCTGGGCATTCTCTCTGCTGATGTCCAAGCCCAGCTCTTCAAGGGACTGCTGGATCTCTGAGGCATCAATGCGCCCTGAACACAACATTTAAAAAAAGCTCTACTGCAGTATAAACAGAGGATATGTAGCCTCGTAAACATCCACTGGCATGTGCCATAATTACTCGTGCCAAGTATGTTGATAGTGAGCTTCCTCTCATCATCCCCTACCGTCGTTGTTTCTGTCCAGACTCTTGAACGTCAGCCGCAGCTTCTTCTCGTGCTCCTTCAGATATTTGCTGAACTCGTTGAAGTCGAGACTCCCATCTTTGTTCTGATCGCCAGACGACACGATTTTCTGCAGAGAAGATTCACAAGTGGTTCAATTTGCCTTCAGGTGGTATCAGGGCGAGTCACAAGCACACACACACACACACACACACACACACACACACACACCCACTCACACACACACACAGAGACTGACACATGGTCAAGAACTACATGGAAATCGAGCCGGCCAAGCCCTGTTTTTTTTGTTTTTTTTTACCTGTGCGGCACCCTGGCGAAATATGCCCATTGCCTTGAGGCCCGCTCGTAATTCAGCGACGTCCACCTCCCCATCGTTATTGGTATCAAGCCTCTCAAACAAGTCCTGGTACGACCTCTTGCTGTCGGCGTCCCAGCACTGGGCATTTGATAGTAAAAACGTCCGTAACGACGGATACATTGTTAGGGCTGAGGGGGAAGCAGCAGTCAAGAGACGAGTCGCCCTGCGGTCAAGATCAGATTATGAATCCATATCCAGATTGAAAATCATGCATAAACACTGCGAAAAATCCAGATGCCGGCCACGAAAAAAAGGCTGCTTTATTATTTTGCAGACTGTCCCGTGCAGAGGTGTCCTCCGTGACGTTTCAGGCGAACTGCAGCTATCGAGGGCGGAGCAACGAAGGCTAACGTAGCCACTCGACGTTTTTTTCTACGGAAGAGCAGGAAAGATGGTCAAATAGAAAAGTGGTGAAATAAATATCCCCCGGATTAACCGCGTGCTTAATCCGGTTTATGCGTCTGGTAAATTTCCCCATCTGTCTTTTTCGCCCTTGCTCCATGTGATATGTCATGGTGTATTATGTAGTACGAAACGTAATCTCCTCATCTGGCACGACGTGCCAGTGCAGGAAGTAACTGTTTTCCCTGCAGCGCAGTATCGCTGGTCGCCACTAGAGGGCAAAGTTCCTCCGCACAAAAAGGTGGCGCACACATGGAAAGGGGGTCAGGGGCCCTGTGTGCGACATCTCTGTGCCCCCCAAGACATCTGACTGTTTCATTTGGTACTACTGGCTGTTAGTTAGTGTATATCTGTAATGTACTAGCACATTCCATGTTTCGTCTTTCCCTCTTCTGCTCTTAACCTCACTACGTTACTACTGCATTTCCGATTAAGAAGAAGAAGAACAAAACATTCCTTTATAAGTCCCACAGTGGGGAAATTATTCTCTGCATTTGACCCATCCCTGTATATATAGGGAGCAGTGAGCTGCCCATGCAGGCGCCCGGGGAGCAGCTCATATCTTTTTTGTATGTAAAATGATTAAGTTGTAAAGTAACTAATAACTAAAGCTGTCAAATAAATGTAGAGAATTACAAACAATATTTCCCACTGAAATGTAGTGAAGTAGCAGTATAAAGACATGACATGAAAATAAAATACTTAAGTAAAGTGCAACCTCAAATTTATACTCAAGTACAGTGCTTGAGTAAATGTAGTTTAATTCCACCTCTGTGCATTGTTATAATTAAACCCAGTAGTATATACTGTATACAATTTGCCCCACCTCAACCTGTTCACCATTAAAATGTTGCTAACATGTTAGTGTATCAGCAACCCAGTAATATGTGTATATAACAGGGATTGTTTTGGTATGTTGGGCACATTACACTGGTGACACTTTTCTACTTCTAACTAAACAAAGGAAGACATTGTGTGGTTTTGCTACTTTCACTTATCAGTAAATTATCTGCATACATCTTCAAACACTGTTTAGACATAAATTCAATATTCAATAACCTGAGCTTTACACAAACTAATAGTATGTTCTTGCTGAATACCTTCAAGTATGGTCTATTCATTTTGGCTGTGGAAATTCCTTCCACCTGTAACAAGTTTAATTTAGCTGTGATTTGAACCATAGTATTAACAGAGTTGTCATATGCTCCCTGTCACATGCCTGCTGAATGAAAGTTATTAGCTACCGACGTCGGGCCGCGAAGGCCCTATTGATATTGTACCTGTTTGGGTAAACGTACGCATGGTTGGAGGACTTGCCATGCATGAAAACTCACCAAATTTTTATTTATGCATTCAACAACTAGGGGGCGCTACAGTAAACCCTCAAAGTTGTGCTTTTTGTCACTTTTTGCAGATTTCAGCCTTCGCACTTTAACGAACTTCTCCTAGAGATTTTAAGCGATCAACTTCTACTTTGGTCAGGATGCTCTTAAGACCTTTATGATCAAAAGTTATCAAAATCAAGAGTTTTCATCAAAGAACCTTGACGTGGCGTGGCGGCCATTTTGCCTCATTGTTTATGAAAAAAGAAGTTGTTATAACTCCAAGGTACATTATCCAATTCGCACAAAACGTCTTATGCATGATGCTACTTCAAGCCTAAACATCCTTCAATTGAAAATATTTCAATAACTCATAGCGCCGCCTACTGGCTAAAGGAAATGTCATATTTTATACTTTTATTTATTCCTCCTAGCCAGGTGACCTGATGAGTCTCAAATTTGGTAAGGATAGCCTTAAGACATTGATGATAAATCGCCATGAATATTGTGAGTTTTCGTTCCACGCTGTTGCCGTGGCGATGCATAGTTTGCCATGAAAAAGGAAGCTGATGGTTTAGTGGGTTGGGATGCTCAAAAACTCATGGAACTTTGTACATGTGTCACAGGTCATTGGAAGAAATAGTGTATATGATTTTCTTTATTGGCCGTTTTAAATTGCCTCTATAGCGTCCCCTACAATATTTCAAAAGAGCAGCCCCAGCGCTACGTTTTAGCTACATGTATGAAACTTGGTAGGCACATGTATCCTATGGAGACTTAAAAATAAGTCTCTTGGGACCATGCTCTAAACCCTACCGGAAGTCTGCCATTTTCAATTTTGTATGAATTTATACAATATTTCGACGATGCAGCCCTCGCAGTACGTTTCACTATCTATATATAAAATTTAGATGTATAACATTTGGTAAACAGATGTATCACATGTAGACTGACAAAAAAGCCCCTGGAGCTCTAAGCTCTAAACCCAACCGGAAGTCAGCCATTTTGAATTTAGTGGAAAAAAAACACATTTTTGCAAACTCCTACACGCTGGCTCCGATTTCTATGAAATTTGCTGTGGATCATAAGTGGATCTAGATCATCAAAAGTTATCAAAATCTTTTTGATATCTCTTTGCGTTTACAAGATATGGACCAATACACTTCTTAGGTGCGTGGCAAAATATCAATACACATAACTTCTCAACCATTTGTTCTAAATTCCCAAAATATTCAGCATATGTGCACATCGCATCCAGTAACATACCCTGAGAATGTTTTGCATTCGACCACTAGGGGGCGCTACAGTAAACCCGCAAAGCCTACTGGCTAAAGGAAATGTCTGATGTAACTCAGCTGGATTTGTTCCAAACGGTCCCAAACTTCTCATGCTTGATAACACTCAAGGCCTGATGATGTCTACGAGCTAATTTCCACTAATACTCACAGCGCCACCTGCTGCCGAAAGGAAATCTGAATTTTGTGATAAACACCTCCGATTTACATGACTTTTACGCAATGCGGTTTACATTTGACACAGAGCTACATGATGCATGTTTGCATGTGTTCTGTAGCGCCAGGCAGCAGATACAGGAAGCATCGGACTATTTGCAAAGCATCATTTCCAATATCAGGCGGTCCACGCGGGATTAAAAACGTCTCGCTCGCGGACGCGCTGTCCGACGGTCGCGGACGTTCTCGGACGCGCAGGCCGGAGTCCCGCCGGCACCCCCGACGCGCTGCAGATTGCGAGGGCCCGTTCATCGCTGCTCGCAGCTTTAATTGTCTTTCTTTCTGCTCCCACTGTCTCTTTCACAATGTTGTGGTCATGGTTGGGAGTGACGTCACGTCAGGGCACTAACTTTGAATGAGTTTCCTCCGTGACGTGTGCGACCATTTCTAACCCGACCACTTAGGTAAAGTTAGAAAGATATTGACAACCTAACCATCTCGACCTCTTTTCTTTTTTGTTTTCATGCAGCGGCAGTGTCCAATCAAAAGGTAGAATGTCCGTCACGTCATGAATAATATTTTTCAGAGGGTGGGAAGGAGGGGATTTGAAGTTTGAATCGTGTCTGCACGAGACTACCGCAACTCTGCAGCGACAGCTGAGCGAGCCGCAGTGACAGCACGGAGCGGGGGAAAGTGGACAGTTGTCTGTCAGCCTTTACCACTTCTGTCGGGACTTGTTGCGCCTCGGTCACCCGCGGCGTTGAGGATATATCATGTCGTTCATGCTTATGAAGAAAAAGAGATTTAAATTTAAGGTAGATTTCGATCTGGAGGAATTGTCATCGGTTCCCTTCGTAAACGGAGTTTTATTCTGTAAAGTTAGACTCATGGATGGAGGCTTTGCAGAGGAGTCGCCTCGGTAAGATTTGTTTTTGCTATTTATAGCGACAGTTCACTGGTAGTTCGAGCAAGCTTGCTTTGCTTTTTCGTTCGACACCTGTTAATCATTTGTAGTCTCGGTTTTGCTTCATTGCTGCATTCCATGAGTTGTATCGTGTATAGTTAACGCTGTGTGTAAGTTAGTAAGCGACACCACAGAAACGTTAGTTAGCTAGGTAACTAGCGTTGTACTTATATAGGCTCGTTACTTGCTAAAACTAAGTATGTGTATTAACTCAACGTATCGTGAACCAGCATTGGTTGAAGGCTTCTGTGTGTTAAGGAGACAGAAACTTACAAACCAGGAGGCTCTTTAAAGAGCTAGTAGCGCTAGTTATTAGTACATTATCAGTCCAATAACATTATTTCGTTAGCCTATGTAACGTTACACAGTTGATAAAATCAGTTGCTAATCAACGACTCTGAGTTAACCTAGCTTCTTCTTGAAACACACTTTCTTTCCATTGCAAAGAAGCACACACGCTTGGGGGGCAGTGATTACACGTGCTTGTATCGTAGATGAGTCACTCTGGAAAAAGCAGGCGTACACATGTCATCGTCTAGCTAAGCCTCATAACTCTCATTACTTTGTCATGGTAACTGTCTGTGTACCAACACTGTGCTCCTAGTTTTATCCTGATCCAACCACAACTTTAGTCTCCTTTTCAAATACCAGAATCATATTGACAATCGTGTATTGTGTATGATTTATGGGGTGTATGAAAAGTCCCATTTTTCTATTTTCTCTATTTCTACCACTATATTGTCTTTTAATTAAAAAGCTACGCCTCTTATCGCTGCTGTCCAGTGTCTACTCAACATTCTCTGTGTACCCTGTGAAGTCTAATTTACTAATATAGGCCAAAATCAATTTGCCTCAAAGGGTCTTCTTCCAAAATATTCACATGTTAAGTTCAGCGAGTATTGAATTGAAGTGTTGCACACATTTAGGATCCGACTGGGACACTCTGTGGGTACACTATGCATAAATCTGGCAATCTTAAAATGAATATCTGCTCTTTTAGTGTTCAGTATACCTGCATGTTGTTGTTTCTCTGTGAAGAAGTGTTTTTAAATGTGCTTCGCTCACAGGAATCCAGTCCAAGCCAACTGTGTCCACTGGAGGAAGAGATTCTCGTTCAATGTTAAGATGAGTGCCAATGCTGGGACAGGTGTACTGGACCCCTGTTTTTGCCGGGTGTCCGTGCGCAAGGTACGGGAACGTTTTCTTGTCTGCCATCAAGCTCGATTTTGTTGACACTGCAAAAAATGCATATTAGAAATGTTCCATAGCAGAGTCCAGATAGTTAACTGAGACTTGAATGTGCTCAAAAGGTTTCTGTAGTTAAGGTCGGAGCACTGTTAATTTGTAATCATGTCACAGATGCTTTGTACAGACAGGAGTAAAGTTTTAATGAAAATGGTTTGTGAGATAGTAATGAAACGGGTAATTGTGACCTCACTGATTTTTGTGTTTTTGTCATTTTAAGGAATTGAAGGGTGGAAAAACTTTTGCAAAGGTAATACTTCTGTTCTCCCGTCTGTAGACTGGCATTTGTTGTAAACATAGATACTTAAGTGCCAGATATCAATTAGAACAGTCTTATCATAAGTGATATGTGATAACAGTCGGCCTCCAAGTGTCCTTAGATAACATTTCAGTAAGGTGAGTCTGTTTACCAAGAATGTTTTTATTTCTAGTTTCCGTCTTTAGTTACTGATTAAACATTCTGTAAATCACAACCTACGTCATGTTAATCATGAACTTTAACGATGAGTTAAAGTATTCTGATTTCTCAAGGATTGAATACCTCCTCTTTAGACACACGTAGTGTGTTTCCAAAAACCTTAGGTGTGCTGGATTTCTTCAAATGTAGACAGTTCTATAACACCACATTATCATAGGATGATGCTTTATGTACACATGCATGTCAATGCTGGCACTTTGACGGAGATAAACCTACTGTCAGATGGTTCTAACGGCTTGATCTCTAATATCCCTGTGCAGCTGGGCTTTGCTGACTTGAACTTGTCTGAGTTTGCCGGGTCCGGCAGCATCACACGACGGTGTCTCCTAGAGGGATACGACACCAAAAACACCAGGCAGGACAACTCAATTCTGAAGGTGTGGTATTGTTTTAACGCATAGCTCCACAATACTTTAAGTTGTAAATGCCGTTAGGAGTCTCTGCCACACTGGCAATATTTTGGTACGGTCCAATAATTTATTCTTACACGTCTGTACAAGTAACACACATTTTAGCAGAGCAAAGATAAGCCTACAACCTATTGTTGCAAAGCTATGCTGCTCTAAATGATGTAACCAGTTCTTCAGCAGTAGTAGACACTCCTGAAAATGTTGGATTTATGTCATCGATGGAAACGTTGAATGCGCTGACAAATGCTGCCACACATGTCTGAGCCTGTGATCTACAAACTACCTTGGTCTTGGGAATGCATCTTAAATATGCTGATTCTTCCTGGGGCTACAATGGGCTTACATTGCACAAAATGTCATTTTAAACCTTAGTTGATAGCAACCCCGTTAAACCACGCTACACCGGAACATTGCAGCTTTTTTCTGCCTCTTGTCAGCCTAAAACCTACATTACTTTACCTCTTTTTGTTTATTTTTTATTTTTTTTTTATCTGTTACAGGTTGTCATCACCACACAACTTATGTCTGGAGACACCTGTTTTAAAACGTAAGAGCTCATTTTTTACCGTATTCATTTGTTCAGTTGTATAACTCAGTCTGCAAGTCTGAATATCAATTCAATTTTAAAGTTGTTACTACGGAAATACTGACATGTCTGTTGTGTTTAAGTTTAGTCAACTACCAAAATGCTATAGCTGTGGTTGCAACGCACGAATGTCCCCCACTTACACAAATCTGCATCTAACCGCAGTGGAAAGTGTTCTCATCACACCCTGTCTGTCACTCGACTGAAGACTCTCTTGTCTGACATTACAAAGTCCTCATAGAGTTTGAAGTTATGACGTATGGTAGCTGAGATTGTATCAGAGTTTTATCTGAGAGCTAATAACGCCTCACCCAGACATTAATCTGCCCAACCTCGGTAGTGAGCAACAACTGAAGTGTGATCAGCTCAGCCCAGCGGTTGCGTTTTCTCTTTTGTTAGGAGCTTTATGTAGAGCAGTTTGTCACTGAGGATGTGACGAAACAACACACTCCTGCCAAAGCCTGCACCGTTTGCAACTTTTTTCAGCCACCGCAAGTCTCTCCCTGTACACTGTCACGTTCCAACTCCCTTTTAGTGTAATGACACACACGCTGCTGCCTAGGAGATGTCTAAAGTGTAAACTCGATGATAGCCTAGTCATTCATCCCACAGAGTGTTACTCATTATGTGTGTGTGAAGAAACAAGATGAGGCTCTTTTTTTTTTTTTTTTTTTCCTTAACTCTTTGTCTGTCGCTATTTGTCTGCCTCTCTGCCCTCTTTCCTTTGTGTAACATCACAGTAGCAGAGAAGTCATGTTTCCTGTGTTAACGTCCGGGAGCTGCTTAAAGTGATTGCCCTTCTATTTTCAATAGACTTATTATTTATCCATTTTGAACTAATGTATAACTTGCTCAAGGAGGCTGTTGGCTTTGACGTTTGCTTGCTGATTAGCTATTACACAGTATTACACAGTCTCCACTAGAATAACAGTGCATACCACAAAGTCTAATCGGGTTAGAGGCCACATTTTTGTGTTTATGATAAGAGCAGGGCAGTTGAAGGAGCTCTTTTCCAACATCACTCTGATACTTAAAAACTCAGTAACATCACTTTTTCCTGTGTTCCCTTTAGTCCCCCATCTACAGCCATGACTCTGGGAATCCCACAGGCTGAAGCAGAGTGTCTCCTTGAGGACAGAAAGGGAGGAAACGTGTACATATCCCATTCACTCACCGGTACGTACATACAGACTCTGAGGCTCAAAAGAGTTTGCTGTTCCTTACGATGGCAAGATTTTATTTTAAGTTTCTCAATTCTTGCCAAAAGCAGCAGCTTTTGTTGTGCACAAGTAGTTTTGACAGAGTTCTACAAAGAACCGTTCTTCATGAGGTGCCATGATTATTCAGGAGTCAACAGTAACGTACTGAAAATCATCGTCAGTCTTTTCATTTAGGAAGCCTCAGAATGGATGGCATCATGAAGAAACTAAAACTAATTGAATCCTCAAGGGTTTTACCTTAAAGAAGAGATTTTTTTTTTTTTAGCTGTGTTTGCATATTTACAAAATGTTCATAACAAAACTTATGATTTCAAAATGTGTGTTGTTTTTTTTTCGTTTAGAGACTCCAGCAACGTCAGTATCAGTCCCAGAGGACCTGGTAGGGTATGGTCACTCCAGAACACCCAGCCATGCCAGTCAACAGTCAAAAATCTCAGGTACCTAACACAAAGACACACATTTATTCCCTTTAAACAAGCACCATTACCACCACGCCAGCTACAGAAAACACAAGCATAACCTGAATCTGTTTTTTCTCCCTGTCCTGTTCTGTAGGTTACAGCTCGAATCACTCCAGTTTAACAGATCTATGCCATCGGAGGAGCGAGTCAGGAGGTTCTGCCTCCACAGGCATCGGCAGCATCCTGGAAACCAGTGATCAGCGAGAGCAGGAGAGCAGGACCACTCTGCCAGCCTCCGCTACCTGTTCTAATTCACCTACCCCCGCTAAAGTTTCAAGGTAATGTTTTTATTTTCTTCCTTTCTTCTCACCTTTTACTTTCAACACATTTTCTATGCTGGTTTCGACCTTTGTGTGCAATGACCCTGTTATATAAACAAACCTCGGGATCAGACTGTTTCTATTTTCTACTAAATATATGGTCTCGTGTATTTTCTTTCCCATATAACGCACACCTGTATAATGTGTCACCCTGCTTCTGTTTCTCCATTAGACATCCAGTAAAGCAGAACTCGGTGGAGAATCAGCTCAAAAGAGTTGATGCCACCAGGGTGGATGCTGATGACGTAATAGAGAAAATCCTGCAGAGCCAGGACTTCAGCCCTGGCGTCTTGGACTCCAGTGCAGAGGGTGTGTACACCTAATCTGTGACTTAGTGCACTGAAGGCTGACTTGGAAAGTTACCTACACTCCTGCTGATTGGATCAAATTACTTTGAGGAGTTGCAATGCAACAATGCAACGGCATCCTTCAAACGCTGAATGACAATTAGATGTTTATGATGGCAAATCATAAATTTGAGCCATACTTGCATATTTACCAGCCTGAATATTAAAATGTATTTGAATAAGCATTACGGAGGTTAGATTTCATTATCTGAATACCTCAAGGGCAGTTTACCCTCACTGGTAGCTGAGCACACATAGTGGCTGCCATGTTACAAACCCCTGTGACTTAATGAAGAGGGGAGTCATTTATTGTTTTAAAAAAAGGGGACTCTCTCCACTCAGAGAATGATGTTGAACACATTTTTTTGTGGAAATGTGCATATTTTGATGTTCTTGAAAAGATCTCATCAGCTTTGCAACATCGTTCCCCTCTCTATTCATCTATTGCCATTTACTATTATCATTTCTGGAGACATAAGTGTGAGCCATTTTCAAACCATGACTTTGCACTGATTGGCAGTATTCTTATTTCTAATGTGTGTGTGTGTGTG